GACCCGCATCAAAATAATTCCGAAACCATCATACAGCAGATATCAAGGCTATATGATCAAATTTCTTCAAAGCATTAATGATACGAAGGCTAAAATCCATTTTATCCGTTCAAGAAGAGTTTTCTTTCACTTAACACCTTCCTCGGCCAACTTCATCTAATTGTGTTACGAAGAGCGATCCAATAAAGGTAGACAGACAGGGAAAATCAACGTGGAGCCTCACATACAAGTGCCCCAGTTTAACTCGCCATACTTCACACTATCATACAAACATCAAGTGGATAGAGAAAGACTGATATCAAGGTAGGCAGTTGTGTGTGAGAGAATAAACAATTTGAAGATAACGGCTAGTGTTGATATCCAAGCTTCAAAAGACATCGAAGAATGAATACGTCTACGCCATTGTGACTGATTTTCAGCCGTTTCACCAAGAGTCCTCAACCACTGATTGTTGCTGTCTTGGGTACCCGAATCAGGCTGTCGAAGTGTCTCCACACAGTTCATACCAGCAGTCAAAGACTTCATTGACTTGTGTCAGGTCTTGGTCTGGCTACCACAAACCCTTTTCCAACCTATTCAAAGCAGATACATGCTTTGGCTCATTAGTTTATGGATTTGACTTTGAACCGTTAGGTCATGGGTTCGAGACCCACTTCACCTACCGAGGTTTGGGCGGCCAGATGGTATCACTAGTCTTCATACAAAAGGTGTAACTCATAGCCTGCTCCACGGATGCGTACAAGGTGGCTGAGTGCCTTTAGTTATTAAGAAAGATACAAGCAGTATCCACAGCACTCAGATAAGGAATGAGATCAGCATTTTAACTCTTTAGAGTTTTACTTCATTGCGTTTTGTTACGTTGTGTGCATGCAGAAGGTAACAAGTCCTAGACATCATTACTTCATCCATGTGAGCCGTCAGTAATGAGTGTTCTGAATACTTCCTTCAATTTTTTTCATGTCTGAAAGTCACACCTATTCATCTGATATTGATCGTACTGAGTAGCTGAAACGATAACTATCATGATCAAAAAGCCTTATTAGCCTGGTTGGAAGGACCGAAGAGATGAACAAGTCTGAAATAGTTAACTCTTCACTAAGAACACATCATCTAATCACCACTCACTCTCCTGCCAACCGTCACCCACTGGAACAGATGGGGTTAGCAATGAGATCTAGTCAGTTAATCGATTAAACGCCTTTCTGATATTCTGAAAGTCAGTGGTTCATGTTCTGATAGGGTTTGCGTTTCCTCTCTACTTTGAAGAAATTCAGTCTTGCGAACGAAACCCACGTCAACTAGCCTCATTGGTAAACAGATACAAATAACACTTGAACGATTGTATCGCATTCTGTTGTTTCACTATTTGTGTGTGGCCCATACATTGACAAGTAGTGGCAATTGTGATATGCAGTTGATGTTAGTTGAAAGTGCGTATAACTAACTTCCAAAAAAAGAGTTCGATGATTGTATATAGCAAATATTCTTTATCCAATATCTTGAAACACAAAATCAGCCGTAAGATCCTCTTCAAAATGGTCTTTTATGTATTGTATACAGATGGTTAGTGACGAATACATAAATTTATTAAAATTCAGGTCATTTATAAACTAAGACCTCCTATGTATATTCAGCAACAATTTGTACGAATATTTCATTTTTCGTACAGAGGGTCGTGTGGTTGAGACATTTTGCCACACAGTTAATCTCCTAACTTTCACATCACTTTCTAACTTCTCATTGCATTTTCTAGGTGTCTAGTTCTTTTTTTCACGTAAATACACGAAATCAATTTTATAATTTTTATGACTGTCCTGTCTTTCGGCTATCTTTTGATAAGTTACAATTAGTTACTTCCATTTTTTATTTTTAGGTATACTTAATTCCACGCAAACCTCGCCTGGTTAACTAGTTTACTAGTTACTAGCCGGTCCTAAGCCCGGGTAAAGAGGGAAGGTTGGGCATAGGGCTAGCAACCCTACCCCGTAAAACAAATCTAACCGCTAAAGAAACTTCAAAGCACAAACAAAATATAAAAAATGAAAACAAACTTATTCCCCGCTGGAATCGGAGAGGCGAAATGACGCCAGTTGGTGAAAGCCTTCGGGAAGCCAATTGGCCGATGTGTCTTCTCTCGATGAAAGCGAAAGTAAACGTGGGGACATGGAATGTCCGCACGATGTTTGAACCCAGTAAGGCAGCCCAGATTGCAAAGGAGATGAGAAGGTATCACATCGAAGTGCTTGGGATTTGCGAAAGCAGATGGAATGGGAGTGGACTCTCCAAACTGTCAACTGGAGAATCAATAATCTACTCCGGTCACCCAGACGCCAACCACGAGCACACTGAGTTCTGGAGTGGCTATCATGATGTCCCCAAGAGCATCGAAGGCTCTCATGCAGTGGGAACCAATCTCCTCCAGGATCATGACAGCAAGATTCAACTCAAAAGGAAGAAAGGTCACAATCATACAATGTTATGCACCTACAAATAATGCAGAGCAAGAGAAAAAGGAGGATTTCTACAGACAACTTCAATCAACACTGGACAAGACGTCAGTTGGCGATATCAAAATTCTAATGGGCGACATGAATGCCAAACTGGGAGGGGACAACACGGGAAGAGAACTAACCATGGGTCGAGAGGCGCTAGGTGAGATGAATGAGAATGGAGAATTGTTTGCAGAATTCTGTGCATTCAACGATTTGGTGATTGGAGGCAGTGTGTTCAGGCACAAAGATATCCACAAAGCGACATGGATTTCACCAGATGGACACACTAAAAATCAAATCGACTTTATCTCAATCTCAAGAAAATGGAGACGCAGTCTACTTAACACAAGGTCAAGAAGAGGAGCAGATGTAGGTTCAGACCACTATCTAGTGCAAGGAACCTTCCAAATCAAGTTGAAAGCCTTCAAGGAAGCTGGTGATAGACCTCAATTCAAGTACAACACTCGGAAACTGAAGGATGAAACTACAAAGGAGATCTTCAAGGCAGCCATCAAGACAAAATGGGAGATATCGAGGAACATCCCTGAAGAAACCTGTGTGGAAGAACACTGGAAGTCTTTGAAAGCTATGTGGAAAGAAACCTGCACAACAGTATTAGGAAGGAAGAAGAAGGAAGACAAGGAATGGATCTCGATGGATACCTGGAAGCTGATAGAGGAGAGGAGGATGGTGAAGCAGAAGATAAACCAGTGCAAGGATGCTCAACGACAAGAGGAACTGAGCACAATGTATAAAACACTGGACAAAGAAGTGAAGAAGAGTGCACGCAAAGACAAAAGACACTTCTACGAAACACTGGCAAGTGAAGCAGAACAGGCTGCAGGTAAGAGAGACCTGACGACATTGTATCAAATAACCAGGTTGCTATCAGGGAAGAGACCAACACAGATGAAACCAATAAAAGATGAAGAAGGAAATTTAATTACAAAAGAAGAGAAACAGAGGAAACGATGGGCCGACCACTTCAAGAAGCTCTTGAATCGACCACCACCTGCACTTCGTCCAGAAATACCACCTGCAGCCGCTGAATTACAAGTGAACATAAATCCCCCAACGAAAATGGAAGTCCTGAACGCCATAAAGCTACTGAAATGCGGGAAAGCAGCAGGACCAGATGGAATACCGCCAGAAGCACTGAGAACAGACGCAGAGACAACAGCGGACATGCTCACACCACTATTGCAGAAGGTGTGGAAGGAAGAGAAGGTACCTGACGATTGGAAGAAGGGTTACCTTGTCAAACTGCCGAAGAAGGGAGACCTCAGTGCTTGCAAGAACTGGCGCGGAATCACTCTCCTGTCCACCCCAAGTAAAATATTAAGCCGCATCATCCTGGAGAGGCTTAAAGACGCACTGGATTCAAAACTGCGACCGGAACAGGCAGGCAGGTTTCAGGAAGTACAAATCATGTGCAGACCAAATTGCAACGCTTCGTATCATCATAGAACAGAGCATAGAATGGCAATCACCTCTCTACCTCAACTTCATCGACTTTGAGAAGGCCTTTGACAGCGTCGACCGAGAGGTAATTTGGAAACTGCTTCAATACTACGGAGTACCGCAAACCTTTATCCGCCTCATTCAACAACTATATGAAGATGCCACATGCCAAGTAATTCACAATGGGAAGCTCAGTGATGCTTTTGAAGTGAAGACAGGAGTGAAACAAGGTTGCCTACTATCCCCCATGATATTCCTTATTGTGGTGGACTGGATCATGCAGCAAACAGTAGGCAGCGAGAAGAGGGGGATACACTGGACGACGGAAAAGAACCTAGAAGACTTGGATTTCGCCGATGACTTATGCCTAATGTCACACAAACTTGAAGATCTGCAGGCAAAAACTAACAAGTTGATAGAAGAGGCAGGGCAGCGAAGACGGGACTTCAGGTGAATATAGAGAAGACAGAAGTGATGAAGATACCGCACCACCACCATCAACAACAACAACAAACTCCAATCACCATCAACGGGAGAAACTTGAAGGAAGTAACCTCCTTCACTTATCTAGGAAGCACTGTTTCAACTACAGGCGGGACGGACGAGGACGTCAAAGTCAGAATCGGAAAAGCAAGACAGGCGTTCATTAGCCTGAAACCAGTGTGGAGATCTTCTGCACTCAGCATGCGGAACAAGATACGGATTTTCAACACCAACGTCAAGTCAGTGCTCTTGTATGGTTCAGAGACTTGGCGCGTCACGAAAGGCATTTCCAATAAACTACAGACATTCATCAACAACTGCTTACGCTCGCTGCTGAAGATCAGATGGCCAGAAAAAATAAGCAACAAGGAACTCTGGGAACGAACCAACCAAGAACCTATCACCCAACAAATATGCAGAAGGAAATGGAGATGTATTGGGCATGCACTGAGGAGGCCGACTGGGGACATCACGCGTCAGGCCCTCGAGTGGAATCCCCATGGGAAGCGACGAGTTGGGCGTCCCAGCTGAGGGTGACATGGAGGAGATCGTGCGAGGAGGAAATGAGAGGTTGTGGGCTGTCGTGGGACCAGGTTCAAAAGATCTCAGAGAACAGAGGTCACTGGAGGCGTGCTACTGAAGCCCTATGTTCCACTAGGAACCCAAGGGACTAACAATAATAATAATAATAAATTCCACACAAGATATGATAATACCTATATATGGACCAAAGTAAATCATTTCACGCTTAATTTCTTCCCTATCTCTGTGTAGTGGAGAAGTCGATGAATGGCTGTTGATTGAGCTACAAGGTGATATTCTGTCCAAAACAAGTAATTCTCTGGAGGGTAGAACATTAGGTGATCTACATTTCTCACAACAGGTTCAATTATTTTATTTCATCTTTTGTAATCTGTATTTCTTTTTCCAGACTGGTGATCCAGTTTTCCTTATTGGTCATCACGTCCTATTTGGCAAATTAATTAACTTAGAGAAACCAATGCTTATCACAAAAAAATGTGCTACCTCAGGGAAACTAAGTTATGAAATTGTTTCTGTCATTCGCAGGAAATTATTGTTTAAAACGCGTCCCAAACCAATTATTTCATCGGTTTCTAAAAAGGTTTAAGAAGCACAATGATATAACCAGTTTATGAATGTGATCCATTATTGTAAATATATGCTTGTTTACCAACAGTTCTTTTTCAATACCTAATTCATCGTCTGTTGATCAGTACCACTCGATTGTGAGAGATAACATATTCATCAATATTGTGTTCTATAAGAATAGTGGACGAGATGAAGGGGCTATCTGTTTTCGATCAAACGTGCTTGTGCAACATTGGACACCTGTGGTGAGAGCAAACAGTGGACAGTGTTATATAGTAGGCATGTAGTCTGGGCAAGGAAGGCAATTCATTTTGATTAGCATATCGAACTTCGTTATTGTTTTCCTCTCTCTTCCTTCCCTCCTATGACCCACCACTTTTAATTAATTTTCTTCTCATTTCCCTATATTTCATCTTGGTGCCTTCTGTTTTGATGTGTTGATATGAATTGTGGCGAATCGGGCTGTTACGCGGTAATGCTGCGTCTCATGCTGGTGTTGCCTGACTTGACTGACGATGAACCTTGACTAACTTAGATGTCTTGGGTATGTGTTGCACATGCCGACTCATCGTCTGCCTCCGTCAGTCATTTTGCCTAAGTTATTAAAGCCACAAAACTCAGCAACCAAGTGTTGCGTCCGTGCACTACGTATTGAGCCATACGTATTCTATGGCTCAAACCTTGGAAGTCGGCTGTCTAGACCAATGAGTTGAAACTAAGAGTGATTGGAGTGAAACATGATGACAGTCCATGAAGTTTGGAACAATTAGTCGCTTTAATGAAGCCAGACAGTGTAATTAGGAGACGAAGCTTATGTGAACAATGTGATTTATTTGCACAATACATTTAGAACAGTCGGATCACACATTTGTTTGTCAAGTCAGGATATGTGGAAGTGGTGATAGTCATGCGGAAATTGAAACCGGTTTTGTGTACACGAAAACAATCTGTCTTTGCAGTACATCTACCTTGGTAAACTTTTCTTCATACCAAGATTAGGATCAATTATGCCATTCTTTTCTTTTGTTCTCATCTCTCTCAATTTTGACGCTCTATTATCCTAGTTGCTCTATTTATCCTTCCATTCTTCACTTTTATATCACTTGGCTTGAAAAGCAAGTGTGTGATCAGATTGCTCAAAGTGCGTTGGGCAAGTAGGCCACACACTGTTCAGATTAGCTTCGTCGTCTAATTGCACTGTCTAAAATCATGAAGTCTTTGACTGATGATCTGAACTGCTTAAGATAGTGTATCCCACTCTATCGATGTCCACGAGTTGATGAGAACCGACGTTTGGTAACTTGGCTCGCAACTGGTAATGGTGGTACAGATGTTTGCCCTTTTTGACACTCTCGCTAACCTTCATTTTTTGTTGCCATTCTTACTGTTTATGTCCTTTGGGTGTGTTGCCGCGAACTGTGAAAGGATTAAAATGATGCGCTAATTTGCAATGTTTCACACTTATCTGCTCGTCCACTTTAGTGATGGTTATCGTAAGATATTTATGGCTGCCTGTACTTTTATAGTAGACTATATACTAAAGTTATGGTGTATGTGTTCATTAAGTTTAAGAAATGTATGTAGGCTATATGAAAAATGAAGTACGAAGTCATTATCCAGTGATTTGTATCTTGCGGACATTTTATTACTGATATATTTTCTGTCTCCTTCTTCATCCTGGCGACGTGTCCTGTTTTAGGCACATATGTAACTGATTCATATCTACGACCACAACCATTGTCCGATGCGTGTCTGATTAACTGGGTTAATATGGTTGGGGTAGGACTATAACATGATGTATTGGCTGAGAACTGTAATGTGACGTGCAAATTGTTTATTGTGATACGATTTTATTGGTAAAAAGTGCGTCACTGTCCAAGTATACTGTAGGTTTACGCTCGTGAATCCTCGTAAAATATCATTGTTGTATTGATGGTGTACATACAATATAATGCGTTGAGCTGTAGTTCATTCGACTTCTAATCAGTGGATTAGGTTCGAATCTCTCTCCACCTACTGATGTCTGGGTAGCCACATTGGATCACTAGCCATCACACAATAGGTGTAGTCTGCTACCCAGTGTACGTGAATGTTGAGTGTATTTCAATTCATAATATGAACGAGACGATGTCCAGTAAGGTTTGGGTATCAGTAGAGGAAGATTTGCGGTTCAAGTTGATAACGAAGTTTATTTTGATGTCTTATGATCTTTTAACTGTTTTCATTCCGTCACTGGACTATTTAAAAACTTATATGTAATTTTAACAGACTTGACAGGATAAGCGTTAGAGTGAGGGTAGGATGCTATATACTCCTAGTGAAAAGCTAGAATCTGAGTTATTTAGGCATTTGACTGTCGGTCAGTGCATAACGAGTTCGCATACACTAACTCGTATGTAATCCGCAACACATTAAACAGGCTTCCACCTATTCGGTTGGTTGTACTCTATTTTAGTCCTTATACAGTGGTTTTTTTCTACCACTGCACTAGGCTTCAAAGTTCATCCATGCAAGACCAGGTTGGAAGGAGCTAAGTATTGCCAGACCGAGATATGATGTCAATACCTGAAGCTTCTGACTGTTGGTCGAAACGGTGTAAAGGGATGTTGGTTTCCCACGACGGCATTAAAATCTATGGTTGGAAACTACATGATATGGCAGAGGCACATATGCACCTGACTAGATCTTCAGAATTGCATCATCATACACTTGTAGCCTCCTTATTATCCTATTATTTCCTTGTCTTCTTTATTGTTTGGTTACACCCTATCGTGTCGCTATGAACTGTAACAAGTTGAATTGATGCACAATCATACCACTATTTATTTCAGTTCCTCGTCAACAAACATGTCAAGTATCTGTGCAACGACTGAAACGTTGTGAAAAGTTGTAGTTAATCACAATTCTGTTTGTGAGGTTTGTAAATGCTTTCTGTATGGAACCTTGCTTTTCATCATCAATGGAAGAATATAATTTAACTTAAATGAGTCGTAAAGTCGTCAATGCCGTGTTATCTATCTGAGGACTGGTTCTGTTTTAGGGTATTTGTATATCATGTGATGATATCGACAGTCTGCAGGTACCTTTCACTTTATCCAGTACCAAAACTAACATCGAAATCTTTAATATTCTGTTTTTACTCTATGGGAAGGATAATGCGACACATGAGTGTCACATATGATAACTTGCACTTCTTATTTGTTACATAAGGGTCAAATTTTTAAACAAAAACGTTCTGACAACGGAAGGACAGTTTCCTAACTGACTTCCCCAGTTACATGGAAGTTTTGTTTGGTGTCTCAGCCGGTGTTGGATCGTTCGATTGATTGTATGTAGTTCGAGTGATAACCTGGAGACATACGTTTCCCCTAGACAGCCCGGAAGAATGTAAGTTTTTTGTAGAGATAGTAGTATATTTTAGTTAGATTGGCTCGAAGTTGAGGTTGCAATATTCCTTTCCATAGAGGAGGACCAAAAAGTACGATTTTAATGCAAAGGCTTTATTCGGTTATCAAAATAGTGTAGTAGGCAGAAATACCTATAATTTTCGGGAGGAAAAAGTCCCTGCTCCAACATGAGGCTCAGTAATACTTAGATGAATAAATCACACTAGTTGGTCAGTTAAGGCCGACGTGGGACGTGGTATTATTGCATAGCGGTCTTAGTTGCCATACCCCACCAGCACATCAAGACGAGATGTGTGTAACAATCTACATGTGTACTGTAGGAGGAATCGAACCATACAGTCAAGCGTGTTGGAATGCCTCTATGTAGTTGGAACACTGACGATAGACATTATCTCTAGGTAACATCTTGTGGAAACAGGGGGTATGACCCGCATCAAAATAATTCCGAAACCATCATACAGCAGATATCAAGGCTATATGATCAAATTTCTTCAAAGCATTAATGATACGAAGGCTAAAATCCATTTTATCCGTTCAAGAAGAGTTTTCTTTCACTTAACACCTTCCTCGGCCAACTTCATCTAATTGTGTTACGAAGAGCGATCCAATAAAGGTAGACAGACAGGGAAAATCAACGTGGAGCCTCACATACAAGTGCCCCAGTTT